AGAGTTGACAAACAAAATCCATGAAAATTAGACATTTTTTACAAATAGTCCTAAATTATCCAAATTAGTTTATTTTCTATATTTAAATCAAGACTATTAGTAGTACTCAGTTGTTATACTTGTTCCATAGTGATTTAATATGTACGTCCACTCTAGTATGGCTTTTTTTGAACTTGATTTTGGGAAATTTAAATGATTTTATTCTCTTCTTACAAGAGTTTTGATTTTTAGAGACGATAAATTATTCATTTTTGTGCAATATTTTAAGTGATGTTATTTTCATTKTTTTTGGTATATCTAGTTTATACTATCAATAATTTAATAATAATATATATTTACATATTATTATAATACAGCATTCAGTATGATATTGTCACTTTGTGACGTAACTCTTTTATATAGAGTGACAATTAGAATATTGTAATTTTTTATCAACCCTTAATATCCAGCTGAAAATACTTTTGATCCTGTAATCTCAGTATTCACCTGTTACCTCAGTTCCCTGGGGTGTCTTGAAAGGCAGTCATTCCTTTATATTGAAGTGAGGTATTTGATAAACTTGCAATGACAGATAGACAGATACCTGTAAACATTAGTGTCCTTCGTGGTTAAAGGCGGTACTTTGCATTGAAGCAGGCAGGCGTGCAATGATAGAAGAATGTGAATAATTGTTTGTAGTTGTGAAAGAAGGTTTCTATAATTGTACGCTCAACGTCTTGCTTCAATTCAAAGGTACTTTTCAAGATGCCACAAAAATTTATCGGGAAGGAGATTATTGTGTGAAATAAGGTCTCACTTCATTGTAAAGTTACAGCTACCATTCAAAATAGCGCAGAACAGTTTCCAAGGATCAAAGATAAAGACTAATRAAGAATTGTTGATGGGTTCGAATTCATAACACATAAAAACTGAAAGACYAAAAGACAGTGTGCGAAATTGCAAGTAAATACAACTTAAATTGCGGAATTAGCTATTGTACCTTTTCTGGTCTCAGCTTCTATGTGTATGATTTTGAACCCAGCAACAGCGTTTCAATTGAATATAATAGTTGCTAGTAAGTATGGTCTTATTAATAGCTAAAATTTTGCAGTAGTCTACTTTTGATAACATGGYTGACTTGACATGCACAACAGAATTGAAAATGAGGCTCCGGGTAAATAATAGATAATCCTTGTTTTCCCTGAGGCTYATTTTCAGGTCTATATACTTGACTATATTCCACCAAAAGGTGCTAGTACTAAAAGTAAGACGCAACTGAATATCTAAAAATTAAGGAATAAACAATATATTCACTCCCTTTAAATTAATAAGCTAAATGATGTAAAGTGAGAAAATAYATTAAGTTAGACATTTGTTTYTTGTGCATCTAATTCACTTATTAAAGTTTGTTGAGTTATGTCATTGGTATCGGCTGATGTGATGTCCGTCAAGTGTGCTATTATGTCCAAGTATTCCTGGATAGAAAACAAAATTAAAATAAATAAATTAATGAATAAACAAATGGATGGATGAATGAATAACTAAAAGGATGGGTAAATGGATGGGTGAACAGAAGAGTTATAAATGAATGAGCAAATAAGTGAATAGATACATGATTGAATATGGGAATAAATAAATGAATGAACATATGACTGAAGAAATGAAAGAATGGATGAACAGATGAATGAATGGAAAATGAAAAAAATGAATGATTAAATGAAAGCACAAAGGAGCAAACAAGTGACCAAATGAATGGACAAGGAAATGAATGAATATAGGAACGAAATACATATTAAACACATATGATATAGTATTTAACAAATAAAGTAACAATAATTTATGAGTGAATAAATGATGAATATACTCATGAATATATAAATAGATGAATGCTGAAATGGGGAATTCAAACACAAAAAAGGAAAGAAAGAAAACAAAAAAGATAAATGACAGGTAAAGGTAAAGGTATTGAATCAACATTCAGTAAAACTAATCACTAAGGATATCCCAGCTCATTTGATAAATTCTATTAAAATATATAAAACTTAAAATGTTGCTCACCACATTTGTTGAAGATGCTAATACTCTGTCCAGCTCTTTGGCTGCTACCTCCATTGATGGCCGCTCTGTCTCATTTTCACTCCAACATCTTAGCATTAGAGCGTATCTAATATTTCAATAATCTATTATCAATCATAACGATAAAACTAGAAAATAGATGTTGATATCTGGAGGGTGCATTATCCCCCCTGATATGTCCCACAAAAATCACTTATGTACTTACATTTCTGGGGGGCAATTCACTGGAGAAGGCATTCTATAACCGGATTTTARTAGAGTGAAGAGCTTTTCTATAGATACTCCAGGGTAAGGTGAAGTTCCTGATGGAGAGAAAAGAAGTATTCATTTGGTTGAATATTGAGAAATTGCAAAATAGGACTGAAATGCTCCTTTCCAAAGTATGAGCCATCCTACAATTGATTGCAAGAATAACGTTAGACTCGTTAATAATAGTGTTTTCAAAACAATCTGATTTTGGAACATAGCAACAATTAAGTTTACACAGTCCTAGTACATAAGTTGCTGAAAATCTGCATTAATTTATGGGTGACCCCCCATACATACCTAGAGTAAAGATTTCCCACAAGAGCACTCCATATGACCAACTAAAAAACGAGAGAAGACAATTGAATGAGATATGATGTGGATAAAAGGATAAAGAGGAATGATTTCTACTTTTGCTAGATTACATTTTTACAATAAAGATAATAAGAGAAAAATAATAAGAATTTAGTTAAATGATATTAAGTAAGTTAAGAAATAGCTTGAATAGTGATCATTTTTGAACATGGTGGCTAAATAGACTGAGTTTTCTAGTTAGCCAGTATAAAGAAGGAAAATATACTACTTACACATCACTCATAATTGTGTATTTTTGATCAAATAARGCCTCTATAGACAGCCACATAATAGGAAGACGACCCTGCAATGTACGCACGTGATTCATTATGGAAGATAATGATGAATAAAACATCAGCCTAGATAGCGTGCGATATCAAGCCAAAGACTTCTTCGTACTTTTTAGGATATCGCTAGGGATGTRTTGCGGCCAACTGTTAACGCAAGAGACGTAAACGAGAATGCCATACTTACGTGTGTCGTCTTCCTGTAGTAATCATTTGCTTTCACGTTACGCGATAGTCCAAAATCTGCTATCTTGATAACATAGTCTTCAGCAACWAGAACGTTACGAGCAGCKAGATCTCTATGCACGCACTGTAAACGACAAAGCAGGAATCTTTCGCTCAGTACGCCTYAWATAAATCTGTATATATATACTACTACATTTGAATGACTTTTATGGCACGTTTRCGTTAGACCTAAAACAATCCGCGCATCAAAAAACGAAGGCAAATTAATAAAATATCCTTCCGTTGATTRTTCYATCATAYGTTTGYCGTATACGCAAGCTTGCGTAAAGCGTAAAAACGGWGARTCAACCAAATTTTGTTCCTTTKATTTTTYTYTWASKTT